TTCAAGTCTTTTAAATTTTGTTCACTTATGTATTCCTGTGGAGTCGATTGCAACTAATATTGATCCTATAAGGCAAGGCAGAACTGCCCCTGTGGGTTTCCCAGGCTAATATTTTAGAGGAATAGAAAGACTCATCTACCTCCCTTTCAACAACTGGTGGGTAGAAAGCACCGACCTTGTGGTTACCAGCCTAATGCATACTGAATTATACCACCAGGATGATTATGTAGGATTTCCATTCTGGATAGTGAGAACACATCCCATTATAAGCCTTCTCTTTGGGGAATTGTTCTACTGTCATTTATGGAAACTTTTCCCTGGCCTGCCATTAGTATCCAGATTCATACTTAACCTAAACTGTAAAGGAACCCCTCTGGAGATAATCTGAGCTATTTTTTTGCAGCTCCATCATCTATAGCTATCTGATTTAGCAGCTTGATCATTGACCAATGTCTCTTAAACCCAGAAAACATACTGGACACTGCTTAGCCTTTTTCATTTTTATATTTACCCAGGCCCCTTTCTGTGCTCTAGCCTATCTTTAGGTAGTAAATTGGGACATTGCAAAGGAGGCCCATGTTTTAAATTTGTTTCCTGCTCTCAATAATCCCACTATTGAACCTTTTATTATCCAAGGCACACTTCTGGAAACTATGTATAATATCTTGGGTTTGACTTTCTATATGTTTAAGGCAGGGGACGAATTCAAAGTAAATAAACAAAAACAAAACCACTGCCATTGGTTTCCCAGACTGTAGATCTCTTTTGGAGTGGATCATCTTTCTCCCCAGGAAGTACTGGGGGTGGGGACTAAACTACCAGCCTTACAATTGGTGAAACCCAAAGACTAACCTATGGAGTTCGGTCCTTTTTAATTCATCTGTTCCTCTGATCATAGATATAGGGGTTGCCATCAGTCAGTATGGACTCAATGGCAGTGAATGAGGCATCAAATTGCTGGTTTATTATTAGATAAGAACTCACTCTTTTCCAAAGTAATTGGATGCAATGGACTAAGAAGTCCTCATTATAACAGAACAGTAATTGTTCTGTTCTTTTATTATTTATCCTTTTGTCTTCTTTAAAAAATATTTTTATTTTGGAAAGCCATTGGAGCTCTGGTGGCATAGTGGGTACATGCTGGGTTGCCAACTATAAGAACAGCCATTGGAAGCCACATGCCTGTTTTGAGCTACAGTCTCAGAAACCCACGAGGGCAGTTCTACTCTATCCTTTAGGGTCACTATGAGTCGAATTGACTCAATGACTTTTTGTTGTTGCTGTTCGTTGGCTGGTTTTGAAGTCATTATTATATTATAATGTAGTGTCTTTTGTTAGTTTCACTAGTGGAAATATTTACTAGGTTCTTTTTAAATATCTAAAAGAAAAAATTAAAAATTGTAATTTTTACCATCTTTAGTCCCTTACCCTAATAGCACTCTGTCCTGGAAATATCAAATAGTAACCTTCTTCCGCAAATCCACAGCTTTAATTTGGGGTCTGTGAGGTAGAACTGAGAGTCAACAAAGACATTTACCAGAGATCAATTTGAGAGCCGGATGCCATGCGCTTAGCAGGCCCTCATAATGACATCTAAAGTGAGACTATCAGTCTTCTTGGCAACTACATGAAGCAATTTAAAAGTTCCTCTAAGTAGAAACAGAAAAAACACAACACCATGTAGAAAATGTGCATGTTTGGTAAAGAACAAATCACATATGATTAATTTAATAATGCCCAGAGACTGAATTTCAAACCTTAACTTTAACACAGGCACCAGAGACAGGTCCAACCAGATCTCCCAGAACTTTACAGATACAAAGAGATTTGCTTTTGGAAGCTGTACTAACTATTTCAGACCACTAGGGTATCCTTAAGTAAATGACTGCTTCAATGTTCCAATCGTACTTAGTTCACTAAAGCAGTAAATTATCCTAACTCTGAAATTCCCAAGCCGGTTCTAAAGAGCTAAAGTCTATGGCAAAGCAGCATGCCTCTGTCCTTTAGCTCATTCCATTCCTGCCTCATCCCATGCTTTAAAAATGCCCTCAAAATCAAGCATTAACATTTGCCAAGCAGTTTGGAAAAACAATGCTATCTAGTAGCCCCCACGGGTGCTTGTCTGTCTCCTCATAGACTCTCCAGAATGGGGAGGGTAGGGGATATTAGCACTTGATTGTGCCAATCGGGCCAAATAGGCATTCGCATATGGGGGAAAAAATTAGATTGTTATTGAGGAAGTAGTTCATAGCTGAGAACATTCGAATTCTTTTAACGAGCAATATAAAAATGTGCTAAGTTTTCCTAGGCCCCATCCACTAGCTACCCACATTGCTAATGTCTTACTTATATCTCATGACACCAGAGAGGCGCTGCAACAAATAAAACGCTTCATAGTTTTAAAAGTTCCTTTTTGCTAAACAGGCTAACATTCTTCAGTTTTATTAAGATCAGGCAGATGTCTGCGTTATCAGCTCAAAGTGTGTTACATGAAGGAACATCTTTCTGAGTTGGAAGTAGCTGCTGAGAGGAAGCGCATGCACGCGGTCTAATGTCACGATGGACCGAGCACAGCTCTGTTCTCTGTGTTGCCAGTAGACTTATAATCAAATTACTGGGACCATGTTTGAAAGCTGGGGATACACATATTTGGAAGCATTAATAGTATTTAATAAATATGTTTCCAACATAGGAATAACACCAAATAAGCAGGAGAGAGATTACATACGCACGGCTTCTAGGTCGTGGCTGTCAATGTAGTTCAGTATCTAGGCAGATGCACAAGTATCTGGGTAAACGATTTCTGTCAATTTCTGGCAATGCCTCTGATTCCAACAGCAATTACGGGTAGAGAATTTAGGCTCAACTATTTAGAAAAGTGGCCTTATTGAATTTACAAACAAGACCCTACCATTTTCCATTTCCTTAGTCAGATATTAAATCAACTGAGCTAAGCATGTCATCATGGCTATAATTTACGTGATGTGACATGACAGTTAAGATGAACTGTGATAATTTGTGAAAGCTTGCAGTATTACTGTAGTATCAAAATTTTATATGGTTCAGTTATTAAGGAAGATTGTTTCATTCATACTGAGATTTCTGACAGTAAACTACCGAGGGCTTCCACATTACATTAAAAAAATGTATTCCATATTCATACACTTTGCACGCCCTGTTACTGTAATTTTGCTCACTGAATGGAAACTGGAGCACAGACAAGCGCGGCTTTTTTTGATGTGGAAATGATCTGTGGGGACTGGGAAGGGCTCCACTGTGGGTGGTTATAAGGACGAGGCCAGCCAGTATAAAGGAAGCTATCTTTAAGAACCAACAATGATGAACAGGATGCCTGAATTCTTTGCTCTGATGGTAGTTAATATCCATCTGCTTGCTTTCCTTCTGTCGGGTTGATTTTCAGCCAACAGAACGGAAAACCATATGACCAAAGAAGACATGATGGGAAAATATCACAAAATATATTTTACCGTAAGTTATCTGTAAATATATTTCACAATAGTCAGAAAAATAAGACCTTGGTAACTAATCCAATTTTGACCCAAGGATCTGGGAACTCCTCTGCGAGGAAAAGCATTTAAAAATGACAGTTGTCTGCATTTCCAAAATCCCTTCTCTCATTTTTAAGCAGTCTTATTTTAGTCATGTGTGCTGTTTTATCATTGTTGAGGACAAAGGAGATTCTTAAGTAGAAAAGGACAAAATGACTCCTTGTCATAAAGTGCTTCCAAATAAAAGTTTAATTAGATTTGTATTATAGCAATTGAATTTTATGGAACATACGCTGTCTCTTTAAAATACATATTCATTGACAATGGGCTGTGTTCATTTACACATTGTTTTATAAAAGCATTTGGAAGCCTGTGAAAAATAAGAAGTTGACCATGAGGTGAAAATGTTTCAGTCGGCTGAAACGACGACTCTCCAGTCACTGAGCAGCATATGAACTATTAAGTTTTTCTAAATCAATACATTTAACTCAAGAAAGCCACTAGCTAGAAATATGCTTTTATTTGTCAATGAAGGATATTTTTTAAATAGCAAAAATCTATTTTTATAGAATAAACTAGACCTTAAAGCCTATCAATTTACTAGATATTTGTTTTGCTTCATTTCCCATGACTTTTACAGTGTCCGGTAGGATGAGTCAATGTATCTATCAGTTGGTAGTCTGTTCACTCTTCCATGAGAAACAGGTATTCCCATTTAGAATTTATAAACCAATTTTGATTCCAAAAATCATTGATGTGGAAACTAAAGTAAAATTCTAAACAAGACACCCTTCCAGATAGAGTAAATATACCAGGAAGAAAAAGATTTAAAAAAACTAAACCAACATCCCCCCCCCCCCCCCCTGCTTCCGAAGCTCCTGCATGTACTTATCTGGGTATGTTTTTACATATCTCTCAGTGGACTTCAAAACAAACATGCGCCTCCAGTCTGGCACTTCTTTTAGAGTGGTACACTCTCTGAGAATCAGGAAATATGTTGTTTACAATAAGCTGCACGGCAGGCATTACATTAGTTATGCAATAGCTAAAAATTTCAATTTACAATCATAGAAGGCAGAAGGAAAAAGAGCTCCCATGAATATCACAAGAAATAAGATACTGATGAGGAAAACTTTAGGAAGTCTACTACCACAGACAACCCTAGAATCATTACTATCTCATGTAGACACAAGAAACATCTCTTGACAAAGAAAATTGGTCACACTGAATATCCGCGAAGCTACATTAATATATTCATTGCTTCGAAAAGTTGACATACAATGCAGATGGTCTAGTGTCATCACTAGCCACACAGCACTGAACTTCCTGGCCACATACACCGCCTTCTGGGCACAGGGGAGACACACCAAACTGCATCTGATCAGACAATCTGACGTGGCATGTGTTTAGTTCCACATTTGCATCAAAACAAACTAACTGAAGGAAGAGTATTTTCAGGATTGAATAGTGAGAAGCAAACAGTAGCCTTACTTTGTTTCCCAGGTATGGAGCTGGCGCGCTCCAGTAGTGGTCCGGCGGCAAGGTGTGTCGGGCCTCTGCACTGCTGATGCTGAGCTCTTGAGATGCATCAGCATCCCCCTGCTGGGGAGCCACCCGGGTGTGCCCAGTGATATCAGTCACATACCAGCCACTCATGTCTTGTATCTTCAAGAAAACAGAAAAATCATTAGATGCGGGGAGGGGAACCCTTTGGGGAGAAATCAAAAGTGAAAATTAGCAAACTATGACAGTTGAAAAAAATCATTAAACTTAGCACACATATTTATATAGGTGGCTATTGTTTATTTTTTTCTGCTTGATCAAGATTTTTGAATAGCGCTATATATAATCATATGTGGTAAAGTAGAAGGGCTGCGGAGAAGAGGAAGGTCTTTGACAGTTGGATTGACAGAATGGCTACAACAATGGGCTCCCGCACAATGAGGGTGGCGCAGAATGGAGCAGGTGCAGAGAATACATTTTACAGAGCAAATAAAAAGAAAAAAAATAGACGTGACAAATGAAAAGCTTCAAATATCTGAGACACTAATTTGATAATAATTTTAAAGGCCAACATAAATAATTTTTAACCTTTATTTTTAGTTTTTTAACCTTGTCCCATGATAAATATAATTGGCCAGGAAATGCTGTTGAAGGGGCCATGCTGTGTGTATGTCATGAATAAGTTGATTTTGTATCTCTTTGGAGCCAAGGTTCTGGAATCACTGGGGCTGCCCTAGTTGGGTGGGAAAGTGATCAAGAACACGAGAGGCAGAGGGTGAGGGAGAGCTGGAGTCGTGATCGTCTTCTCTAGGACAAAATGTGCGGAAAGAGACGTGAAGTAATGTATTCCATACTCTTGTTTCCTTTCGCATGCCACCCTTGAGGCATTCTGGGAGAGACCAGACTATTCAAGGGAATTCTTTTCTGAAGACTTGCTGAACTGCAAAAACTGGTACACCTAAATTTTTGAAGGCTATGTTCTCTCACTGCCATTGAGTCAATGCGGGCTCATAGTGAGCCCCTGGGAGCTTCTGAGACCATGACTGTTTACAGAAGTACAATGCCCAGTTTTTCTTCCGAGGAGCTGCTGATGGGTTCGAAATGCCCAAGGCTCCTAAAGGCTATGTTAAATCTTACCTTCTGAGTCTAAGCAGAAGGCAAACAGTGAGAAGCCTTCCATCCATTTTTGAGTCTCTGCATAGATCCTATCTCTACTGAACTCTTTCTGATCATTTATCAGCACTGTGACCAGCTTTGCCTTCAGGCAGAGTGTGTTTGATGGCAGATTGCTAATGCTTCCCTAGCCAGTCCAGAGATGGGCAGCATAGCCCTTAGGGACTTGCCTGCATTTGCTTTTGATGGAATTTGAGGCATAGGGTTCGCATAGTCATGCGTCATACGTACCCTGACTGCCTAGTTGGAGGGCCCTGGGCTGATTTTGTAAGATTTTCTCATTTGCAATAGTGATGGTCTCCCAATCATGGTCCCTTTCCCACGTCTGGAGGTATAGTGGTTATGCATTGGGCTGCTAACCACCAGGTCTGTGGTTGGAAACAACCAACTTCCTATTGAGGAAAATATGAGGCTTTATGTTTCTGTAAAGAGTTATAGTCTTAAAGCCCCACAGAGGCCCTTCTCCCCTGTCTGATAGGGCTGCTATGAGGTGGAAGCCACCATGGTGCAGAGCTTTGTCTAGCTTGGTTCCCACTTCTGTCATCTCGCCTTCAACTCTGATGAGCTGACCTGCCATCAATTATGACTCTGTGCTGGTTTCTGTACCCAGCAAGAATTCGCTGATTAAAGTTGAAAGGGGATTGTCTCAGACAGTAGTTTATTCAAATAGAATTATGGGTAAAGCATAATTCTAGTCATAGTACTTCCCTGTTTCAAATCTTTAAACGATTCTCCAAGTATAAGCTCCGAAGCCTTAGCACCCTCAGTCCTCTATTGTATGGTTTCTCATTCCCCTTCTTTGCCTCTTTCTCTAGAACGCATTTGCCACTGACCTACCATCACTGACATTGAGTCAAGTCGGATGACTCAGAGCAGCCCGTTGTAGGGTTTCTGAGGCTATAAATCTCTAGGTGAACAGGTAACCTCAGTTTTCTCCTGAGGAGGAACTGATGGGTTTTAACTGATGACCCCGTGGTTAGCAGTCCCACATTTACCGACAGGGCCACCAACCACAGAAGCTATTTGAGATTTCCCAAAGGTCTAATTTGCCTCATATTTTCCTTAGAGTGAAGATGGAGTACGAAGTTTGGTAGAGACTGGAGGTACTAATCTTGTCTATGCTAGAGTAAGAAATTTCCAGTAACAACTAAATAGTTTAAGCAATTTGAAAAATTTCAAATCAACTCAGAATGAAGCTATTGTCCAAAGTTAGGATTGGTTTTAACAATGAAAGAGCCGACGCAACTTCAAATTATTACAAGGAACTGATGCGTGAGATGCATTGTGTCTATTAATGAAAAGGTTTTTTCACCTGTGTACAATAATCAATGAGGAAATGAGGTATGGGATTCTTTGAATAATAACTTGGTGCATTCTCTATTGAAATGTCTCCCCTTGGGGTGAAATCAACACTCGCTTCATTACTGTTTCACATACTAATCAAGAACGGTGATCACCGCAGTATCTGCATGTTCTAAGAGAGATCAGACCATACGTGGTTGCCGATAAAACCTCACGGGCTTTGATCAAAGACATACCGTTAGCTTTGAGAGAAAAGGTCATAATTTCTCTGTGAGAACTTTAAGTAGACAGACACTACAACAAAGAAAGAAAAAAGAAGGAAAAGAAAGGAACGCTTTACAAAAGAAAACATAGCAGCAGCAACAGCGGCCAGTGGAGCAGCACGCACAAAGCCGAGCTGTTGCTTACGCGGCCGTAGGTCCAGGGGGCGCTCTGACATCTGGTCGAAAGCCCCGAACAGAAGCACTCATCGCAGCCCTTCGTGTTCTCCTCCTGCAGGTTGAAGAAGCCGGATTTGCAACGACTGCAGTCTCCTCCTTCGACGTTCTCCTGCACATCAAGTTGTGTTGAAAACAGTGAGCGCTTTCAAAGCAAACAGTTTTCCATTACGATATCTGCATAAGCAAAATAGTCACTGTGCGCTCTTCCTGAGGGCTTCTCAACCGTTATGTGTAAAGTACAATGCTATCCAAACATTTATCTCAGACTCTGTAGTAAGTTATTTGTCCCTAATCAGACTTCTGGGAAAGAATTTCGGATCGTAATTTGTTGTTTTGAAATGTACAATTTTGAACATCTAAAAAATCGAATAAATTGACCAGGAGTTGGTGAATTTGGCTAATTATTCATTGACAAAGTCTTTATTGCTAATCTTACACCAATATATGATACATTGTAAAACATTAATACATAGATGTAAAATGGATTACTGATATTACACAGATCATAAAATACTTTCACATTAAACATTTAAAATGCATACATTTGAGGCAAGTAAAAGGACCCAACAAGCAGAGAAAGTGGGGCAAAAGGTGATAGCATTTGTCTGTCCAGCCTAGGAAAAAAAGGAGAAATGTTTTCTCTTCTCAGCTTTTATTTTACTTTTGTTTTTTTAATCATTTTATTGGGGACTCATGCAGCTCTTATCACAAGACATACGTACATCCATTGTGTCAAGCATACCTTCTCAGCCTTTGTAATGTTAACTTTCATACAGCAATACAGTCAGCATTCGTATAGTAATATCACAGGACAATTTCATTCACATCTGGTAATGTCTCTTTAGATGGACTTCATTGTTTGTCTGGAGGTAGGTATTATAGATTGAATTGTGTCACGCAGGGGGGAAATGTATCAATTAGCTGGACGATGATTCTCAGTATATTTTACTACCTTCCATTTGGTGTTTTGATATGGGTACCTTGTGTGTTGTAAATCCAACCATAGTGATAATGAGGCACTATGACAGGTGGTTCTATCAATGAGGCAGGATGCATAGGATTAGGTTGTATTTTGAGTCAATCTCTTTTGAGACATAGAGGGATTAAAAAGAGGGCAGAGGTCAAAGGGGCCTGTTTTTACCAAAAAAGAAGAGCCAGGAGCTGAGCGTGTCAGAAAAACAGAGTAATTCTCAAACCCAGGGCACTCAGGAGGGCAAGGAGGGACAAGAAGAAGAGAAAGCCTTCCCTATAGCCGACCACCCTGATTCAGCCGACTTGCCTCCTCATCACAGCCTTCTGCTTATGGCATGCGTGAGGTTCAGCAGCACTAGATCATGAAGACAGTGGGACTTCAGTATGAACTCAGAACCATGAAGGCTGATGCTCTAACTACACACTGGGGAGGGTATAATCGCTCTCATGGGAGGATGACTAATCTTATCTAATAGCTCCAAAGGACAACTCCCTGCTCTCCATGGCAATGAATATCAATATTCCTGTAATGTACATTCGCTTCACATTTCCTGTCTTCCTTGGAATTCCCTTATTTCTGAAACTTTCCTTTTCCTCAGAGAACTAACATTTCACTTGTGTTCCCAATGCCTTTTATACATTGCTCTATTATAACCATCACACGCACTCACACACATGCACATACACACATTTTTTCTAAGCATGGTTTCTCCAGCTGTCCCACAATCCAGTCGGTGACAAAACCTTGTCTTCCTTAGCTTTTCTCCCTGCCATCGAGTCAATTCTGCCTCATTGCAGCCGTGTCAGACAAAACAGAACTGCCCCGGTGAGTTCTGAGACTGGAGCTGTTACAGCGGGGAGAAAGCCTCATCTTTCTCCTGCAGGGTAGCTGGTGGTTTTGATCAGTTAACCTTATTGTTAGCAGCCCAGCGCATAACTTGCAACATCACCACAGCTCCTACTTACCTTGTATGCGGAACTAGCAGGGTTCCCTTACAAAATGATAACATTTTGTTTAATTTACATTAATTTACTCATCACTATGTTTCTTATGCATAGTCCAGTGCTATGCACATAGATATTTATTAACAACATTTGTAAATAAAGATTGCATAAGAGATAGGGATAGTAAAATCTAAAAAAAGGAAAATGTAAAAGAGGACAGAAAAATAGAAAAACTCATTAGAATAAAGAATGAAGAGGGGTACTTTTGTAGCCCAGAGAATAATTTGCTTTAAATGACCTTTTTGATGGAATTTTTGTGACGACAGTGAATTTACAAATGCAATCACTCAACCCTGGTGGTGTTTTAAACAAGATGTTGCTAGACTTGTTTCATTTGTTAAATTTCAGCATCCTGATAGGTGTATATCCAAATAGAAATACTGCTATTAACCTTCCTGGTGTTTTATTTTTAAGGTAAATTTCAAATGTTTGGGGATGACGGATTTCAGCAAAACTAATCACATTCATTTTGGACCTATGGTGACAAACAAATCCCCCAGGCTCTGAAGTTGAGAGCATCTTCCTGAGAGCGCACAGGGAGGAGAGATGCGACATCCCCATCATTATACTTTCGCTCACTCCACTGAGGACACCTGGTACAGCTGCTCTGCACACTGTGTTCTAATGTGCTTGGTATAACCCATGATTCGTTTACTCTAATTTGAAAGTTTCTAATACCACTTTTCTGAGATTCAGACTGAATCCAACAATTGCATATTTTTAGACATCAGTCACATTTTCTTTAACTCCATTTTAGCCTTGTAATACGACCTTGAAAATATGTTGAATAATTGCAACATCCAGTTTAATTTAATGACCTGCAGCAGCACATTAGGATATGAATTGTAGGGAATAAAAATATGGATGGGTCAAACCTCCATCTTCAAAAGTTAACTACTTAAATAAAATGATATGTTCACAATCAGCTATAATGCAAGGAGAACGATGTTAAGTTGATCTCGGAAACAAAGTAACTATGGTAAAACAGAGGAGGATGGAATAATTTCTACCATTAGAGTCTTATTTTGTGTTGTTAGGTGCTGTGATAGGTAGGTTGATTGTGCCTACCTGGCCAATGAACACATGTGGGAATAATTGAAGGGCGGAGAGGTAAATGGCTTGGTGAGCCTCTCCTGTCTTGTCTCTTTCTCTTTTATGATCAGACCAGTGTATGGGTGCCTTAGCTGATTCTCTGCCTCAACTTGCAGTGTGTCACTGTAGTTTGAGGTCCCTTCAAGACCTGCTTCACATATATCGCATGAGCTGGGGACTGTTGATGACCTGCCTTGCTGTTTGCTGCCTGTGGCCAGAGAGCCTGAATTTCTCTACTGAGGACACAGATGTCTGCTTCTTTGACTTGCACCCGGCAACCCTCGAGACTTGAAGGACTGCCAGTGTATTAGCTGTTTCATGGAGGTGAGTTGCACTGAGCCATTTGTACTGCTCTATACACTAATTAACTGTTTATTTCTTATGTTCATATCTATCAATCATCTATCTGTAAAATCATAAGTGTTCTGGTGTTGTTTCTCTAGAGAACCCTGTGTAACACAGGTGCCATCAACTCAGTTCTGACCCATAGCAACCCTCTGCACAATAGAACAAAACACTGACCAGTCCTACGTCTCAAGTCTAGGAAACTTTATGACAGATGAGAAGTTTGACAAAATCTTGTATCATGGCATATAAATTCAATCAAATGGCAAAGATAGAGGAAGGGACCCATGCTATCGTAGGAACAAGATATTGGGGACAAGGAATAAATAGGAAATTAGAAATTTCATTCACTATTTATTCTTTCCAAGCTATGAGTTGACTACTTCCCCTCAATTAAGAATTTCACATAGGACTTGTAACCCAGAGGCCTAGCTCTCAGATTAGGAATTTGTTTAGTTCTCCTAAAATGTAAACCATTCCCAGAAAAATTAGTAAGTGATGAAATGTTATTCAGGAAGAGATAAGCCAATAGAATTCTACCAGAAGCAATTAAATTGTCAGACACAGTTAAAACATATATGAAATGTATGAGATTGGAACAAGGAACTTTTTATCACCATAGTTACAATGATAGGATGTGTGCACCTATAAAAATAGGTTAGGCAAGTGGTACTTGTGCTTTGCTGAAGGTGAGATATGTCTGAGCCGAAATAATTTAGGCCCATTTCAGATCCTCAAGCGAATCATTTTATTCCTCCTCAATTCCCATTCGCTGCAACTTTAGATACAAATTATCATCTCTGATGACCTTTTCATAGATCTTACATAACTTTGTGCAGAAAGCCAGGTTCACGTCACCACAGTAAGTTTCTGGAGCATTACTCTTTACTTCTCTGTCAGACTGCGCCATGTTTTGTTTTCTACTTACTCGGTTGGCTCCTGTCCTGTTGAACTAGATTTATTCCACCTGACAGTGCTGGGTTTTGCTTTTTCTGAGGCTCTACTACCGATTAATGTCAAATGCAACTATGTGCCTGGGTAGTGCCAACTGAATACACTTGACTGCCGACGAAAAGACTGGGGACTGATATCCACATGGAGAAACCATGGAAATTCACTTTAAAAACAGCTATTGAAAACTATATGGTTTAAAAATAGAACTAGTTCTCTTTTGGGTCATCATGTGTCAAAAACAATTCCCTGGTAATTGATTAATTAGTAAGTGTAATAAATAAAGTATATACTTGTCTACCTGTTCTTAGTTGAATTAGTCTTTTGAAACTTGTGGGAGAATCAAAGGAAAAATAAGAGGCTACTAGCACTACTTTGTGGGCATGTCTTCACAGGTCCAGGACGAACTAGACAGATCACCTTCGACTGACCATCCTTTCCCAATGTCTCTTGGAAGAATGCATTTCTAAATGTTTAAGTAAGCAATTGCTTCCATAATGGGGATTGAATCAAATATCTCTTTTTTAAAAAGTTCATCTTAAAGCTAGAGATCATCATAATTTGATACTAAATATATTTTATATTTTAGAGCAGTACAATTCGAGACACAGATATATATATATATATAATGTTCTGTTATTTTAATGAGCTTCTATTCAGAGACAACTGCACCCAACTTCTATTCGTTTGGTAGTAGAAAGGATCTTGGGAATCTGGGCACTAATTCTTTCTGTGGACTCTTAA